ATTTTTTAAAGGGGTCCTATTATGCTCTTTTTCAAAGTCTTGATTTTGTTTTGGGGGTGTACTAGAACAGGCTCTCATACTAGGTTGTTCGAAAAACACATTATTTTTCACATATTTTACATTATTACAACACCTCTCTCCCCAGTCTGGCATGAACGGCTCGAATAGTTCCTGTATCAAATGAAGGCCCGCCTTCTGAAATATGAAATGTGCTGTGATTGGTTAGCTGGGCTAGTGTGTGTTGTGATTGGCAGCACTCGGTGCCTGGTCGGGAAATGTCATGCCCCTTACCATAGCCTCCTGCGAGCTTCAGTGTAAATATTGCGTCAATATCAAATCAATTTGAGCGCGATTTAAACCCGGATGATTGTAACCACTCTAAGTTCGTCTGCCTTGGGAAAGCTAGCGTGTCTCCGACATAGTGATAACACTCGTTGCCTTCTCTAGTGCAGCTCAACCAGGTCTCGTCCCATTCATCGATATTTGTGATATCACAAATCCCGTAAAATATGCGTTGTAGTCCAAACGAGTCGTTCGTTGTTGTTTTTAAAAAGTGATTTCTGTTAAATAAAATACCTCCTTTTGAAGTGGACTTTGAACTTTGTAACTTTCCAGATCTTTTTTATGCTCAAACAGTAACATTACAGACTAACTAAAGTTGAAAAAGTGAAAAAGCATAATAGGACCCCTTTAAAATTGATCAAACTCTAATGCAAAAAACACTCCATCTTTAAAAAAAAAAAAAAAGAAAGGTGTCTATCAACGACAGTAACATGACTCACAAAAATAAGTCAGTAAGAAATATACAATATAAATGGGATGAAATATGGTATACTGGCTGACTTCAGTTAACAGCCTTATTCAATTCAACAAGAGCCTCTGGATGAGAGTGCACTTTCATGACTGTTTCTAAACACACTTTTAATAAATGCGCTTGTTTTGATGTTGAGTAATGTACTAAAGCACATGTAAAGCGCTTAACTGTTGCATGTTGTTTGATATTACATTTAATGTATTTGAAATATACTAAAACACAGCTTCGGCATTACAATGTATAACTGCAAATATATTTAAATACATGGCATACAAGTTTCAAGAGAAATGACTGTATACAACTATATTTAGTTTATCATAAATGCTTGCCAGTACATTCAGCAGTACTTTAACCATATTTCAATGACAACAGAATTATGAAATTACATGTAAAGATGTACTTAAGTCCTACTTAAGTGGGTCAAAATCACTCGGAAGTTCAATTATCAATGTCCAAAAACATTACATTCAGTTTGCACACAAGTATATTCTTGTAAAGTATATTATTTAACAAGTACTGTTTGTAAAAGTATGTTAATGTGTACTTTTTTTCACAAGGAATGGTCAAACACGTTGTCCAATAAAGGAAATGTTGAGCAGGTGAAAGCTTTAAACTAGTTTGACTGTTTATCATCTAAATAATGATACATGAGGGTTCTTATAATTATTCGTACTGATTGAATTGGTGCCTGTTTGTATTGGTTCTTAATAAAATGTATTTATAAGCCACATTTCAGTCGTTGTATCCGCCATCTTGAATTTTTTTTTTCACTGAGTTCATCACAGTGCGTTTTAGTATGACCTGGGCATATTGACATCTCTAATCCAAATAAAAAAATGAGCATTAGTTCTGACACCATTAAAAATACTGATATTATTTCCCTCATTCCTCATTGTTCACTGGTGTGTCAGATATGTTGTTTTTATATTTATCCCTGCAAAAATGTATTTTCTTTATAAGAAATCTCTCTCATATCAATGATGTAAGTGAGACTGTAATACCTTTCTGTACCGATTGACAAATGATTAATATTGACGAAGATATATTGTGCAACAATCTGATGGAACTAGATTGTGCTCTTATAATTTTGAAGACATTTTATAGAATAATTAATTACCTTAAGCACATAGGATACAATTTCTCATCCTTTTAATAATAGTTTATGTAATTCAAAAACAAAATAATAAAAACAAAACGCTAGCTTTTACTTTAGCAAAAGCTTCAGTATTTGCTAATATAGAAAGTAGATGTTGGAAACACAGGCTGAGAACATGTCAAAAATAGCATCTAACAACAGTTATTGTTAACATCATTTTGGTAACACTTTACTTCAAGCCTTTATGTAGAATGCAATATAAAGATAATGCACATTGTAATGCATTATATCTATATCTAACCAAATGCATTATAATATTTGAAGCTTTGTTTGTCACGTGTTTTAACGCATTATACTTTCTAAAGGTGTAACAGTGAATAGATAAGTATTATATTGCAATATAACTGTGTTACAATTATTCCTGGGGTTTACACAATGCATTACAAGGTGCATAAAAGTTATAATTAATGCATTAAAACTACTTCTATAATGCATATTTTTACACATATGTAAATAAGGGATCACACCAATATTTTATTTTTTCATTACAATTGAGCGTCATATACTGTATTAAGACAGAATCAAAAATTGATGAATTGAGTGAGGGTACCCAATCGTTCTTGTTGATAATACTGATAAATCTGCACTTCTTTGTGCTGATATTAATGTAGGCTGTGTGCACACGTGAGTCTTTCTGTGCTTCTGTCTGTGTTTGACAGCTTCTCCCAAACCTGGCCATCCACTCCTGGACAGAAGAACATGTGGTGGGTAGAATATTTCTCAACAGAGCTGATCTGATCAGACTTCACCTTTAGATTTTTGTTCTTTTTTTAAACATATTTTGCATACTTTACAGCATTTCTGGATGGAGCAGATTTTTCAAGGTGAGATTCTTCATCATACTTATATTTATATTTATACAAAATTAAAATTTGGGGCCAGTGAGATTCTTTTTTAAAGAAATGAATACTTTTATTCCACAAGGGCACATTAAATTGATCACAAGTGACAGTAAAGACTTTCACAGTGTTACAAACGATTTCTATTTGAAATAAATGCTGTTTTTGGAACTTTTTACTCATCAAAGAACCCTGGAAATATTAAGCAGCGAAACCTGTTTTCAACATAATGTTTCTTGAGCAGCAAATTAACATATTACGATGATTTCTCAAGGATCGTGCAATGAAGACTGGAGTAATGATGCTACAAATTCAGCTTTGTATCGCAGGAATAAATTATATTTTTAAATAGAAAACAATTATTTTAAATAGTAATAATATTTCACAATATTACTCTTTTTACTGTATAAATGCAGCCCTGGTGAGCATGAGACTTGTTTCACTAAACATTCAAACAGTAGTGTATATTCAAATACAAATCCAGAATGGTGTCTTTGATGGTTAGCTTTTTCGGTAAAGGGTTCGAGGATACAAAATATCATTAGGTCAGTATAACAACAATAAACATTGATGCAGTTAAGTGAAAGAGTCCCTGCTAGGACAGAAACATAAGCGTGTGTGCTGTGTAGGTGATGGAGAGCTGCAGCAGTACGCCGAAATCTTCAAGCAGAATCACATCACAGGACAGAGACTGCTGCTGCTGTCCGAGACGGACATGAGAGATCTGGGTGTGACGTCTAAAGGACACATCATACATCTCAAGGTACCAGGCTGCTTCCTCCAGGACACTCTTAAGTGCTAATGCACTAAACAGCTCTTTGGCACACATTTAAATGTACTGGCACACTAAAGAGTGATATTTAAAATAATAACGTTACTTTTGTTATTTATTGTGGCATTGATGATTATTTCGAACATTATACAGTGGTGGCCAAAATTGTTAGAACACCTGACTCAGGTTTTTTTTTAGGTTTTGGTGTGTCCACTAGGGGTGTGCGATATTGGCAAAAAAGAATATCTCGATATTTTCTGGGATTTTATGGATAATGATAATTAGACGATATTTTGCTGAGTGTGTTATTGTGCTGGTACCTTAAGGACTGCCGTGGACAGCTGCCTCCTAAAGTTTTTGATATTCTTCATATTCTGTGCAGTGGTCAGTTCACCCTGATAGAAATTAATCTTTTCCAATAAGTTTAAACTGATTTAAAACAACAATTAGGATATTATTGCAGACGATATATATCGCACACCCCTAGTGTCCACCTTTTGCAGCAATTACAGCAGCACATCTGTCTGGAATAGTGTCAATATATTTCCTGAGAACTTCAACACTATTGTTATCCCATGACTTCTGCAACTCGAGCCAAAGGCTTTCCTCTGAATGTACAATAGATCTGTCCAGTTTATTTTACAACTCCAAATTTGCTCGATGGGGTTGAGGTCTGGACTTTGAGGGGGCCAGTCCATCATTTTTAATGTTCCAGCACATTCCTTCCGTCACAGGTAGTTCCGGCAATAGTTCGTTTTATGGGTTTATCGTAATTTCCAATTCAACAAAAACAACTGAAACCTCTTAAATATGCCAAGTGTCCTAACAATTTTGGCCACCACTGTAGTCACTAAAAACTTGAAAGTTCTTGAACACTCTAAAGTTCGAGTTAATAGGAAAGAATCTTAGCAGGCTTCTACATGTTTGTAGATTTTCCAAATGCCAGAAATGTGTATTTTGAATGGCACATGCTTCTCAGATTCAAAGTGCATGGTTAAATCCATCAATGCAACAGAGTTTCAAAATGCATTCATAGCTCTCATGAGTAAGGTCATTGAACCAGCTAATCCACAGGGCAGCAAAACCATGAATAAGATCTCCTTATTAGCTCAATTTCTTCTGCTAGACAGCAATGAGATTGAATGGAGAGAAAACAGAGACGTTTACTGAGGTCTCCAGCATCAGATTGTCCTCCTAAGAAACCCAGACCCAAACATCTGACATATATATCCTCTAGTTTCTCAACAAAGCTCAAACTGTGCTCAGAAAAGCCAAGATCCCAATATGAACTCATATGAAGATGCCACGTTCGTTTTGGAGCTTAATACTAGATTTCAACAATCGACTGATCTGCGTCTTGGACTTTTTTTTTTATTTCCGCCCAAGGAATTCTAGAAATATCCGTGACAGCGTTTGTACTAAAATGAAACTCCATTATATCATATTGCTATGCTTTGAAAGAGCAACCTCTGAGAAAAAAATGTTTCTTCCTCTGGGATAGCACACGTCTGATTGTGTAAGCCATTCGTGTGCGTGCTCCATAGAGAGCCTGATTTGTTGAATGAATTACTCTAGATGTATATGACATATGCCAGAGCACGAATTATATGTTCATAAGTGATACACAATGGTATTAATTGTTGTTTTGTTACAGGTAATAATTACGTTACATTCACACACAGCTGGTCATTGGCTGATTGTCAGTGCGCTGCATAAATCCCTCTCGTGGTGTTTTAAACGTTATGCCAAATCTTTCTTTTTCAGACCGAAATTGAGAAACTTACCCACGACTACCTGAACCTGTTCCACTTTCCGCCATTGATCAAGGCATGTGGTCTTTGTGGTTTCATCGCTTTCTAGATCTTCTTTTACATCAGAGTTGACATGAATTTGCATTTGAATAATCTCTACGCTGCTTTAGCTGAATTCTTCCTCATCCGTCACGGTCACAGCTAATGTATGTTAGCTTGTACATCCTCTCTCAGGATGGTTTGGCCACGGAGGAAGCAGAGGAGGAGTGGAGGAAGACTGTGAATCTGGAGTTGGTGTTTGGATATCACTGGAAAGCAGGCACAGGCCAAACGGTAAATTACAACACTGCATATCATGTGTGTCATAGTTACTGATTAATCTATGAAACAAAACTGAATCCATGTGATCTTTGGTTTTGGCGTCATTTTATTATGTTGCTCACAAGATGCTTGGGATGCTGTTATGCAGTTGAGTGTTTTGAGTGGTTGCCAGGGTCTTGTAGGCGGTTACCAGTGACGTAATGCGTAGTTTTAGTCATATCTATTAATAATTCAAAGATGCTTCAGAGATGCTGTTTAATTTCTGCATTAAATTTTATTGTGATATTTTCGGAGCATAAAATCAAACATGTTAGGGTGATAAAACTGCCCTGAAATCAATAATGAAGAAAAAGGCTTATTAAGAAAACCTTATTAAGTACTAAGGCATAAAAAACAATATAGAAAATAAGTAATGCTTTATATTTTAATTTAATTTCTTTTATTTTATAACTTATACTTATCAAAACTGATTCACTGCTTATTAACATTTTAAAAACTTCAGATTTTCAATTTTGAAACATTTCAAAAGTCAAATCATAGTCATGCGGTCCAACTAACATGCAGAGGTATGCAGAATTTTTTTTTAAAAGAATATGATATGTCTCTTAAAACACTGAATAACATTTTATGATTTAAGGCAACGTTAGTTCAGGTTGAAAAATGTCATGCGGTGCGACTCCCCAAAAACGTTGACGTTCCTGAGTTAAAAAAATTCTTTGATATTTGTAAAAAATAAATTAATAAATAACTTGAAATATATTTTACAACTTTTTGGAAATGAATGAGATGTGGACAATCACATGCATTCATGAAATTGATGTTTACACCACATTTTAAATTGGAAATGGCACCAAGATGATTACATTGTGGTTCTCTTTAAGCCCTAAGATTTCTTTGTTATTTACCATAATCATTTTTGCATCTAGGTCTGTGTATCATCTGCCGCGTTAACAGGAGGCTTTTGTTGGAGACGTGATAACTGAGATGTTTTGTCACAATTGCTGTGCTCCTTGATTTGAAGTTGTCTTCCTCAAGTAAAAGATGCCTGTTGTCTCCTCCGAAGACTGACCACCGTCTCGCTAACGCATTTTCCATTCCCAAGCCTCTTGTGTTTGTTCCTCTTTTTTGTTCTCTTAAAAAGGGCCGCGAGAGATAAATAATTTTTCATCCAAGACGACGCGTAGCATCCACCCCCTCTTGCCGGCGAGCCTTTGTTTGGGCCCCTGACACAAGAGAGCGACTGCGTCTTCACTTGCCATTTGAATTTAATCAAAAATTTAGCCAGAAGTCATTTTCTTTTTAAAAGGCAAATGTTATTTAATCTTTCAGCTGTTCATTGTCCCATCATAAATAGTCCCCTTTCAAGGCGTGCGGCGGGGCTGAAGCGGGGCCGCTAATTGCCTCCTATTTCTCTGACATGTGGTGGTTTGGTTGGGAGGAAGCTCAGCGGGAAGAAGGAAACAGGAGTCTGAGAAAATGAGAGCTAATTATTTTCCCCTGCCTGGTGTCAGCCTCCGTGTCAGCCTTGTTTTTACAAACTGCAAGGTTTTTTGCACTAAATAAAACAAACCCGAGTTTTTTTTTTGCGCCTTTTTTGCTCGCTCTCTCTCTCCGTCTCCATCTCTCTCTCTTTCCTGGCGGTGTCGTGGTACCAGCTGCACTTCTCAAAGCCTAAATGAGACCCAGCGATTGTGCTTTGCCCATCTGACAGCACAGAGTGTTTCTGTTAATGAGGATATCAGGGCTTAGTCGCCGGAAAGGTGCTGAATTATGTATGAGGTGTCATTAGACGCTTACCACGCTGGCCGTCATTACCGCACATTGTTTCTGCCGCTGCTATTAGGCAGGGCTAACGTTTGGCAAACGCTTGGTCAGCGCTCAGCCGACGTGTTACTGGACGCCTTTAAGCCCCGTCCAAAACAAACAGGCACACGTTCACGATTGCCTTTTCTCGCTCCCTCGCCTCTCGCGTGAGGAAGAGGGCTTGTTCTCTGTCGAGATGTTGTGTAAGTGAACAGCCATGTGCTTTAAGCGGTAAACTTTGACCTCGGCACCGGGCTGGCAGATTGGACGGATCATTACCGCTCTGCCCAGCGCGCTCGGCTCAGCCGTTTCTTGCATGGCCTCTCAGAAAAGGGCCTCATCTCCATTGCTAATGTGAATGAGAATGGATGTTAAGGTCTCCCGCTCATGTTATGCCTGAGAAACGAACACGGTCGCTTCTCTGCACTCTGATCTCTTAGCTTCAGTCTTCACATCATTCTGTCTCAGAAACACGCGTGTGTGAATGAACACCGGTTGACATTCAAACATTCATTCTCACGCTTGGCTTCCTCTAGGATGTGCTTGCGTTTACACGCCACACCTTAAAGTTCAACATTATCTGTAACACTCAAAAAGCTAGCGTTAAGTGTGTCCATTTATGAGCTTTCTTCTGTTGTCCTATTGTACGTATTCAAGGCCCAGATGCACCAATCTAACATAAATGAACTAGAAGCAACGAAAAGTGTACCGCGGTGTGTCATATTGCCTGAGTTTGCACCAAAAATTTGTGCTTGAACACACCACAAATACTACAGCCAATGGCCAACTAGCACGTAACTCTCCACACCAGCAGGTAGTAGTAGTCTGCATCTATCAATCAAAAGGAAAACCAGAACTAGCGGTGCGTTAAAAACAGCATATATCGCCCTCCGAAGAGCACTTTGGAGTGAAAACAATCATGGCCGCCACATTGAAGGTTTCGTTCCAAACCAAAGTGCTCAAAACTGGCCACTGCAAAGGGCCCTTCGGAAGGACTTCGGGCCCCCATGATCCTCTGCTCTGATTCTTTCCATGATGGTGCCTCCGTGTGGGCACTTCAAGAAACAATTGTTTGGTCCCCTACACCCTTCAACCCTTCAAAGCTCTCACTCCGGAGGGTAAACCCTTTGAAGGGATTAGGGCATAGGGATGAGCCCTTGCAAATGGAACGCAGGGTAGGACTGCGGATATTCAAGCTGTAAACAAAGAAGTGCGTGTTTACCATTTTCACACCAATCTCTCTCACCACAGACAATGGCCCTGTCCCAATTGGAACACTTCATGTGCACTTGCGGTCTTACGGACTTACAATGGCCGCCGTGTTCGTGTGTTCGTTAAGTTCATGTCCCATTCGTCATTTTAGCATTCAGAAGGGTGCTCGCGAGCGCCCCCTTTGCGGCCTCGATCCTCACTTCTGCATTACGTCACGAAAGTGCGGACTAAGAGGAAGACCGCGAGGGTTTAGGGTGCGATTTGGGACAGGGCCATTATCTGAATATTTGGAATTACTGTCGAGTCTGAGTGCACCTTGTAGTAGAGCTACAGTAGATTCTGGATAAATTGAGAATCACGATTTTTTTTTTTGTCTCAAATAGAGATCACGATTCTCCCACGATTCTGAACTAAACAAAATAATGTGTGACAAAATATTAATTGCTGCAGTCTATTTGAAAGTGCTTAATTAATTGAAATGGATTATTAAACATTTGAATATAGTATATGTATTTAAAATATACTATATTTAATACACCAATTTTCGATATTAAAATTATGAAAAATTGGTTTGAATGAATGATTCAATGACTCACTCATAAACACTTGTTTCATTTCGGGATGAATCAGCGTTTTTGAACGAATCCCGAATGAATTATTCAATGACAAATACATTTTTGAACTGTCACTTGTCGCCACCTAGTGGCAAAACAATGCAATCACCACAAACGCTATTTGAAGCGCCAGTTACTATCAAAAGGGTATACGCTCTATTTTGATCGCTACCATAGACATCAATGTTTGTATCCGAACTATAAACTTTCACCCCAGTATTTCTGTGATAATATGAATGACTGTAAGACAGAAATAATGCTGTGTAGTTGAAAAGACTGTTTGTGAAGCTGTTTCTAGAGTATTAGTCCTAAACAACTGAGTGTGAGATGTTTGTTAATGTTTTTATCTTATTTTTTTATTTTTGAATCTTTCACGTTACACATGACGTCAGAGCCCATTCAAACCGAGGTGGCGCGTGCAGCTTGAATGCAGCTTCCAAAAGACAAAAAATTGCCGAATAATATTTTTTATATTTGATACAATCACACCGGCGTGATTAGTACGTTCAGTGCGGCACATCAGCTGAGCCAGAAACACGCGTTTTTACAGCGCTGTGCATTATAACACACACGATTAAAAAAGTTAGACAGTTTCATCCTTGTCCAGTGTCCCCGCTATTTCTCTCCAGAAGTTATCACCAATAAAAATATCTTTGTATTCGTTTAAACTAGAATTGTGTGGATTTCTTACAATCTCTTACTGATGAGATGTTGCCGTCTCCAGTTGTTGTTCTGCCTCCTCTGTTTGATTTTCGACTGTTAGACAATGGTACAGATCAGTGTTGTCACCTTGTGGACTGATCTGTCAGAATGTTTACGATGCAGATGTTGAAATTTCCGCCACAAATACTGTACATATAGCCTACTGTATATGCATAAAAAAAATAACAAAGTATACTTTGACAAGAGGGGAGCAACCACCCAAAATTACTTAGGAGCTGTATAGCAGCGTGCTAAACACTCAGAATAGGTGACTTCTGCACAGGGAACCGTCACGCACATTAAATGATATCTTAAATCATGAAACTGAGATTTGCTACTCGTGATTGTGTTTACGACTGTCACCAATTCCTGAAAAATTCCTATAGACTTACACTGAAAGATGGAGCTTGAAGATCAGAATCACAGAGATGAATTGAGAGTAGCCAAAACACTCTAGAACCAAATAATAATAATAAAAAACACTCAGAATATCTTAGCAGCACCCTGGCAATCACCCACAAGTTGTGTATGGGAAAGAAGTGTTACTTCAGAAAATTAGAAAATCGAGATATTACTTTTCTAAGCTATTAGATTTAAAATTGTCGACCTGGAAATGTGAAAATCTATTTAGATTAAAGTGTACAGGGTGGTGTAACCCAGGTTTGTGCTTTGCAAAAAGAGCCATTAAAGCTCAAGTGTGATTTGAATACACATTATCGTCCTCTAGGTTGTGCTGTTGGGTTATATCGCCCTCAAACAGCTCAAATCGTACAGGTCTACATTTCTGTTCGGCCACATTTACCTACATAAGATGCTACAGTTTAACCTCATTCTACCGACTGTTGTCTCATCTGTATCTCTGTATTTCTGACCTCCACAGGACTGCAAATGGAAAATGTACATGGAGCTTGATGGGGATGAGGTGGCAATCGCATATATCAAAGACGTGACCTTTAATGCCAACAGACCAGACGTAGATGTATTAAAGATGACCAAGGTGAGAAATGTCATGGATCAGTGTAAATTACGTCTCCATTATGTTTGTACTGTGTTTTGAGGAATGCAGGAGACTGAGGTCGTATAGCAGACCAACACACGTTTTAAATGTGTTGTGAGTAGATGCTTGTTATGATGCTGTCATGCCTTTCAGCCTTAGGTTGATGTGCTTTACGGTTTGTGGTAAAATCTAAATTACTCTCCAGCCACCGTTTGTGATGGATAAGTGGATCGTGGGGATTTCTGGCACACAAACCGTTGACTGCACAGTAAACTATGAGGTAAGTACCAAAACAAAAAAGACTAGGTCCACAGTACAGTCTACATGAAATAGTGTTCTGAATGTACTTACTACATATTTGCTATAGTACAAGTAGTAATTAAAACCTAAAAACCTATACCTAACCTATAAGTCCATGTAGTTACTTTATATTACTTAATACTTTCAGTGCAGAGCATATCCTGTAAAATAAAGTGCAACCAATTCTGCAGTGTGACATTTTTGCAGAGTGAAACTGCATATTCTGTAAGAAAATACAATGTTAGACAAGACTTGATTTTGATTATTGGTTAAAAACTTGAATAGGTTTGGTGGTGACAACAATTGAAAGGGAAAGTGGCAGAGCAAGATTCTGAATAATGTGCACAAATGGGCACAACAACAATACCCGTGTGAAAAGATGTACTATTTAGCATAAAAAGAGCACTTGTTACAAAAATAATATATTTTAATAATTATATGTATTGAAGTGAAAACTGAAAGCTTTATTAAATATGAATGCATGTTAATTGCAATAAAAATGTATTATAGTAATTTCACAATAACTTGTCTTTTAAATGTGGAGTACTGTCGAATGTACAAACACACATTTATGGTAAACTGTTAATATTTTCTATTAAAACTTGTATGTCGTGTATCTACACAACCATTCAAAGGTTTTTGAACAGTAAGATTTTTAATGTTTTTTTTAGAGTTTAAAGAAGTCTCTTCTGCTCACCAAGCTTGCATTTATTTGATCCAAAATACAGCAAAAGCAGTAATATTGTGGAATATTTTTACTATTTAAAATAACTGTTTTCTATTTGAATATATTTTACGATGTAATTTATTCCTGTGATCAAAGCTTATATATTGTAATGATGATGTTGCAATTTAGTACATTTATATTACATTTAAATGCAATATCACACTGCATTTAAAATTATATTCAGGTTCTTTACATGTATGTATTTAGTATGTTAGTCAACACATCAAAATAAGTGTACTTCTTTAAAACATGACAATTTATCAACATAATGATTTAAAATGAAGAAACAGTCGTGAAATTGTCTCTTTAAGTAAACTTGAGTGGCCTTTTTGATTAATATTAGTATGAACACTTTTGAAATATATAATGTTAAGTTTCAAAGTACATTACAAGTGCACATTAAATACAATTAAGTACACTTCTTTTTCACATGGGTAGGAACTCATATTAAGAAAGTAAATAGTAAAAAAGTTATTTTAATTTCATGTTAAATATACAACGTCAACATTTCACTGGACATTTTGTCATTGTAGAGAGTAATTTCAAATACACAACGCAGTATGCTTTTAAGAAAACTCTTCTAAACAGTGACAACTTTCTAAACAGTGTAAAATTCATTAGGTATATTTGCAATCTGTATGCAAAATGTGCAAGGAGTTTAAAGAAGTCTCTTCTGCTCACCAAGCCTGCATTTATTTGATCCAAAATACAGCAAAAGCAGTAATATTGTGGAATATTTTTACTATTTAAAATAACTGTTTTCTATTTGAATATATTTTACGATGTAATTTATTCCTGTGATCAAAGCTTATATATTGTAATGATGATGTTGCAATTTAGTACATTTATATTACATTTAAATGCAATATCACACTGCATTTAAAATTATATTCAGGTTCTTTACATGTATGTATTTAGTATGTTAGTCAACACATCAAAATAAGTGTACTTCTTTAAAACATGACAAAAGATTATGAAAACATAATGATTTAAAATGAAGAAACAGTCGTGAAATTGTCTCTTTAAGTAAACTTGAGTGGCCTTTTTGATTAATATTAGTATGAACACTTTTGAAATATATAATGTTAAGTTTCAAAGTACATTACAAGTGCACATTAAATACAATTAAGTACACTTCTTTTTCACATGGGTAGGAACTCATATTAAGAAAGTAAATAGTAAAAAAGTTATTTTAATTTCATGTTAAATATACAACGTCAACATTTCACTGGACATTTTGTCATTGTAGAGAGTAATTTCAAATACACAACGCAGTATGCTTTTAAGAAAACTCTTCTAAACAGTGACAACTTTCTAAACAGTGTAAAATTCATTAGGTATATTTGCAATCTGTATGCAAAATGTGCTATTAAGGTTATAAGGGGACATGTTTAAGCTGGTGCCTTGTCTCCTGCCAGGGTAACGTGAGATCTCCTAAGTGCACGAGACACGAGCACAGAGTGCAGTGGAGTCCAGACAGCGGGAGGGACGTGATCAGACCTGTAGAGCTGGTCATTGAGACGGCGCCAAGCATCAGGGAAGGTCACAACAGAAGCAGGTCCAACTCAGGTAATACAATACTGATTGGTAGAGAGCTTGTTTGGTGTCATATTCAAATTAATTATATTGAACTTTCTTTTGAAAGGCAATATAATATATAGCAATTGAGAACTGGGTAGTAATTGATCACATGTAATCTGGATTACGTAATCAGATTCCAAAAAATTAAGTACTTATTCAAGATTCAATTACATTTTAAAATACTCAAATTAGACTTTTTTATTGGTTATAAGATTACATATTACAATTTTTCATGCAGTTTGGAATCAGTAACAGACTACAATTTTCAAGTAAACTACCAGTTCTGTATATATATAAATTGTACAATTGTATTTTAAATATACATATATGTGTGTGTGTGTGCGTGTGTGTGTGTCTCTGTGTGTGTGTGTGTGTGTGTGTGTGTGAAATCTGGAATCTGAGGGTGCAAAAAAACCCAAAAAACTATTGAGAAAATCGCCTTTAAAGTTGTCCAAATGAAGTTCTTAGCAATGCATATAACTAATCAATTGATCTATTTACGGTAGGAAATTTACAAAATATATTCATGGAATATGATCTTTACTTAATATCCTAATGATTTTTGGCATAAAAGAAAAATCGATAATTGTGACCCATACAATGTATTTTTGGCTATTGCTACAAATATACCCCAACGACTTAAGACTGGTTTTGTTGCCCAGGGTCACATATAACAATTATAAACATATATATAACAATTTTTACACAAAATTGTACATTGTATGCAAATGTCATTCAACCCTACTATCAAGTTTTTGAGTGAAAAATAATAAATTATCTTTAATTTATAGGTAAATTAACTAGTTTCTACTGAGTAATAGCTTAATGTGGAATGTAATCCTGTTACTTTATTTTGTATGCTTTTATTTTTTTATTTTATTTAATGTTATTTTATTTTACAATTTTTGGGCTGTTGTATTTGGAAATAAAAAATACTAATAGCAATTACAAACATTTGGATATCAGTGTTGCAAAAATTGCAAACCCCACATGAAATGTACAATAAATAAACCAGCTGCAATGATATTTAGCTTGACCTTCTGAGATTAAATGTCCTGTCAGCCATATTTTGCATATCCATGGAAAATGTCTCGGTTTCTCATTCTATTATTCTGTTCCTCGATCAGGTGTTGATCCCAGATGGATTTACAGTCTGAGAATGAAGCAGTGGAGAGAGCAAGCTGCCCAGGAGTCCACAGGCAAGATGACCCTCCCTCAGTTCCTCTCCGTCATCGGGAACCAATCATCGTACACCGCCGCTGTCAGGAGATCGCACAATCTCAGCCCTCTCACTCCATGGACAGACTCGCGGAGTTCCTCTCCCACCCTTTCCGTCAAACTCTCTACCATCCATCTGGGGTCAAAGGGCAGCAGCCCGTCAAGCACGACATCTGAGAGCACCTTGGAGCGAGAGCGGCCCCCTAGTGCTGGAGATAAACACAACTACCACAGAAAAGCATACTACACGTTTAAAACCAACGGAGGAGGAAGAGGAGAAGTGGAAGCCAGAAGGCCTAATCAGATGTCACAGAGAGGATCCAGAGGCTTGCAACATGCTGGACGGCCCCGAAACAACAACTCCTATATAACACCGTCTAACCACCAACGCCCAATACCGGGGATGTCCGTTGTCACTGAGGGGGTGAAGCAGAAAGGGGCGTCTGTAGAGGCCGGGTCTGGTGATGGGGACTGGATTAAAGTAGAAAGAAAGAAACCTAATAAACAGGAACATAAGCACCAGGAAGTGAGGCAGGGCAGAGGCCGGCCGCGCAGAGGAGGGAGAGGCGGTGGGCGTGGCCGAAGTTGAGTGCTTATAAAGCGTTACACCGTGTCCTAACTAGCCAAGATTCCAGCGACAAGCAATTTGGGTGTCCATACCAGACGCGACGCGGCAGAATCAATCAAATATCATTGCCAATCAAAAGCGCGTGTGGTCGGGCTCTCTCTGGAAGCGCACTGCACTCGCAACGAAATACGTTTATAATGTAATTCATAAATATTAAATCTTTTTAAGATTATTAAATGTACATACTGAGTGACTGATACCATCTTTGTTATGGAATACGCTTGTTGGTTCGCATTGAGTTCACAGTTTTATCATTTAATTTGTATAATTTGTATGTTGTTGTTCCAGCCACGACGTTGCGGAAATAGAAACCTTTTCTACAATAGAAATTTCACGTGTCACCGTCGTGGCTATAGTTAGGACAAAACCTCTGATTAACATGGAAAAGATACCTTTTATCACTTGTCGTGGCCTCGCGTTGCGTGTAGCTAGGACATGGTGTTATGGTTTCTACAATGGTTTCTATTTCCGCGATGTCGCGGCTGGAACAACAACATACAAACTATATGACAGTATATCATCTTAGGTGATTATGCACTTTATAAAAACTTAAACGTGTCTAATGTGAGTTTGAATATCATTTAGCGTGAGCTTATAGCCATACTGAAAGCAACAATAGATAGTTAACCTCAGATTTTGAAAATAAATTAAAGCAAACATGTTCATTAAAACTGCAAACACATTGCGAACCAACAAGAATTTTTTCCATGATGACAAAGATGGTATCAGTCACTCAGTATGTACATTTAACAATGTTAAAAATGTTTGATATTTATGAATTAGATTATAAACTTATCCATTTCGTTGCGAGTGCAGTGCGCTTCCAGAGAGAGCCCGCCCACACACGCTTCTGATTGGCTGTGATATTTGATTGATTTTGTCTAGTTTGGACACCCAAATTGCTTGACGCTGGAATCTTGTCGTGTCGCGTGTAGTTAGGACCAAGCGGCAACCTCCCCCTCTCTCTCGTGAAGCCAACAAGGAAGTGACTTAAACTGTAATTCATCAACTGGCCGCTAGAGGCTGGCTGCAAAAGGGAGTCAATCCCATAGACTCCCCATGTTAAAATGCCCAACTTTACAGCAGAAAAAAACATGTTTACAGCCTGGTTCAAAAAAT